TTCTTTCCACTTGTCTTGAGTAGGGCAGCCACGTAGGCATTTGCTCACCACTGGATGGAGTGCGTTTGTGAACAAGAAGAAGCTCGTCTCTGGAGATGCAGTGCTGTTTCTCAGGTATATGAATCCTTTGGTTCAAGAAACTTTGGATGCCCTTATTCATGATTCTCATACAATGTTTATAATAGGGGTGATGACGGAGAACTGAGGCTAGGAATTAGAAGGGCAGCCCAGGTTAAAGGGTCTGCTACTTATCCAACTCTTTGTAGCCAGCAATTAAACTATAGCGCTATCACGGATGTGGTGAATGCTATATCCATGAAGAATGCATTTAACATCTTCTACAATCCAAGGTAATATGCTGCTCATTCATTTAACATATTCTTAAAGTAATCTTGAAAGTTATGATTTTAGACCCATCTGTCTTTTTGGATCTTGTTCTCCCTATAATTTTCCATATTAATCATGTAGAGCCAGCTCATCAGAATTCATAATACCTTCCCGTAAATTTTTGAGGTGCCTTGATCATTCCTTTTCACCTGGAATGCGGTTCAAAATGCGTTTCGAAACAGAAGATGCAGCAGAGCGAAGGTTTGGCATTCTTAAATTTGACATAGTTGAAGGATTTAAAGTCAAATTTTAATTAAAATGTATTTTTGGCAGATACACTGGGCTGATAACTGGAATTAGTGAATTGGATCCTGTAAGATGGCCTGGTTCAAAATGGAGATGTCTAGTTGTACGTACTTTTAACAGAGCCTTTCTATATATATCCTCTTTTTTTTTCATCAAAAGCATTTGGACCTTGTGTATCTTAAACTTTTACATGAGCATGCATTACTGCTTTCCTGCCGCACTTTGTGTTCTCTAAACTAATATATAATATTATATATGGTAGGGGTAAATGTAAATCCCCCACCTTGTAAGTTGTTTGTATGTTTACTTTGTTGATTTTACATTTAAGATTCGCAAAACCATTTCATGAACAAATCTGGTGTAAGCCTTTTTTTTAACAAGAATTGAAGCATTTGGGCCACTGGACAAGAGGGCAAAATATAACGAAAATTGTATGACATCTTCACCATGTTAAAATCAGGATGAATTAATAACACTTTTTTGTATTTATCATGAAATGTCTTGAGGGTTTAGCACAGTTTTTGGCTAAATCACGCTATGAACAGATAAATCTGCTCTTGTATTTGTCACAACATTTGTCTTAATTGTTGAACAAAACACCTTACTCATAGCCCCGAGGACAGAAACTCAGGGTCTTGATTATTTGAACCCTATCATATTCAGAAATGAAGGAATATTTTTAATGTTTCATACATAGACATCGGTGTTGCTTATTGTAGCTGTCAAGTCTTTAGAACTGCAAAGATTTATTGAGTTATTTTTCACTGCCTTGAAAGTTGTATTAACCGAAATATCACAAAAGATGTTTTCTCTGCTCTGTAGTATGCCAATACTAACTTACTAGGTGATAAGTTCACGCCATTAGCACTAGATATATTGGTTTCAAACTTTTCTTTTGTTCGTGCAGGTAAGGTGGGATGATATAGACACAAGTAAGCATGGCAGGGTTTCCCCATGGGAAATCGAGCCATCTGGTTCTGTTTCTAGTTCCCATAGCTTAATGGCAGCTGGTTTGAAGAGGGCCAGGAGTGGCTTGTCTGCAGCAAAAACAGAATTTCCAGTTCCTAGTATGTCGTGCATTCAGATTAGAACATTCCATCGTGACACTGTCTCTGCAACATAATTTATTGATTGTAACATTTTTTTCTTACAGATGGGATTGGAGCATCAGACTTTGGGGAATCTTTAAGGTTCCAGAAGGTCTTGCAAGGTCAAGAAATTTTGGGTTTTGATACTCATTTCGGTGGTTTAGGTGGTCAGAATCAACATCCATCTGAACCAAGGAGGGGTTTTCATGGTTCAAGCGGTTCTGGGATTGCTGCTGGAGGTAATGGTCTCAGAAAGTCACTTGCGGACTCTGAGATTACCTCAACCGGCATAGGCTTTGGTGAATCATTCCGATTCCATAAGGTCTTGCAAGGTCAAGAAATATTTCCAAGCCCACCATATGGAAGAGCTTCCACTACTAACGAGGCTCATGAATATGGTGGCCCTGGAATTTATGATGGTTTTCAGGTGCCAAGCTTTAGAAATGGGTGGTCTGCCATGATGCAAAGCAATAATACACACGTGCACCCATCTGCCTCGTCTGTGCAAGTTTCATCACCATCATCTGTGTTAATGTTCCAGCAAGCAATGAATCCAGGCCCGGAATTCAATTCAGTATACAACGGTCATAACCAGGAGGAACAGAGAGTTACAAAACGAACTCCATATGTCTCTGAATCAGATGGTGGAAAGCAAGCATCATCCTCATTTTGTGAACGCAGCTTCAGCAGGGAAGATCATGGGGGCAAGAATTTTTACAATCAACATGGTATCTCAAATCATCCTGTAATAAGTCAATCAACATTTAGTGGCAGTCAGGATGCGGTTTCACCATACAAAGGCAGCTGTAGACTCTTTGGTTTCTCATTGTCTGAGGAAAAACGTGCCCCAGACAGAGAGAGCAACTCCACCTCAACTGCATCTACATTAAATCCTGGAGTGCAGTTTCATTCAAAGCCTGCATTGATGACATCAGCAGTTGGAATTACCTGTACCAAAGTATGCAACCTCTTTCCAACATTACGCTGTAATATCGTATCTTTTGTAGAGGTAGACAGGACATTTAATCTTCTCTAAGATTGATGGCTACGATAATCTGATTTGTGAGTTGGGTGTGTTTATGTATAGGAATGGGCTTTTGACTGGCGTGGGGAAAGGATGGAAAGCTGCTTACAAGGATAGCGATGATACAATGGCTTGTTGCAGATGATCAAAGGCAGTAACTAGTAAGTGCTGAACTGTCTACTTTTTATCAATCTTTCTATTTTTTGTTTTGTTTGCATCCTAGCATCAAAACCTACTCTTGCAGTGGTGTCAAAACTTTGGTGCCATGTAAAACCCAATGAAACTTATTGTGGCCAAATATATGATTCAAAATCGTATACAAGTAACCCTAGTTAATATGAAGAAGATCTAGCTGTTAGGTCTTTTTTGTTTGTTTGAATTTCTCTTTTTCCGTTGAGAATCAGAATGAGTTTTTCTATGCGTATGTATAGTATTTTACCCCTTGAAGTTTATATTATGAGTTTCTTACTTCTGTCGACATTGTTTTGCAGGGAATGTTACCATAATGTCAATAATTATGCTATGTACGGGTGAAGTCTCTTGGCAACTGAGATTTTGTTCAGATTATCCGTGTGCTGTCGTTTATGTAACTTAACTTTCGAGGTAAAAATTGTAACTAAGCGCCTCAAGTGACTTTGATTGTATTGTTAATTCAGCTTTGAAAACAACAGAGTTTGTAGAATCTATGTATTGCCTCTCATATGATAGCCCTGTTGGAAAGAGGGGCCTATCCAAACGGAGCAAATTCTATCTACGCAATTACAATTGTTAATTAAAGAGGGGCCTCTCATATGATGCTTGTTCTTCTGTTCCAAAGTTCCCTGCTATATTCGTATTTTGTTGTTTCTAAAGAAAGAATTTTGTGATGTAGTTATTGTTAGAGAATGTGCAGCAATAGAAAATTATGAATTATTGCTGGGTTCAGTTGTCTTGGCTTTTCACAGATTGCCTTTGTGATTCTCCCACGTAACATTGCCATGTCTTGCTGGAAATGGGAATCGAAAGTCTTAAATTTTTGAATGTTGGAATATTCCATATATAGTATATAGTCGCATCAATCCAAGAAACTCAACCTAAAAAGTCCATGCAATGACTCACTAATAACACATACATACATATATATTTAATATAGGGACCTCTCCTCATAAAGAAAAGAAAGAGACATCTCTGCTAATTTCTTGTTAATTGCATTCACAATCTTATTGGTCTCCACACCTTTCTATTCATTCACCAGTTTCTCGGAACACAACACACAAGTTAGAACATAGTGAACGAAAGTGAAACCATTGACCCTTTGATTCTCCTCTCTTATTTATTGAACCAAAGTGATAAATTGTCCAAATCAATTAGCGATCAATATGCTACTGTATTCTGGGGAGGTGATTCTTCATCAACCAAGGCAAACAACAACATTGTATCACATTTCTTACAAGAGAAATGCCCCGTTGACAATATAATGATAAATATGGTATAAATAGTTTTATCAAACAAAGAGTTGTATAAGATTGACTCTGGTCCAAAGAAAAGCTGTTCATTGGTCCCCCTTGTGAGCTCTGTAACATTCATGCAGGACTTAATGAAGTCATATTTTGATGTGGAATTCATATTGTACAAGCAATAAGCACAAAGCAGAAGGTTCCCGCAGTTGCATCAGACTCGACATGTAAACAGTGAATAGTAAGGCAGAGAGAGAGAGAGAGTCTACGATATCCCGTGTCCTTGAAAAATATTTTTTGTGGTCCTCAAAGTCAAAACCCACAACCATGTCTATGAAAAACCAACATATTGTGTAATATCAAATTTACATCACAAAAACGTGTTGAGTAATAAACATAAAAAATCACGTGAAAAATCAAGAAATTAAAAAAAGCTCAGCTTAGGACTGTAAGTCCTTCATCTCCTAATTCCAACGTAGGCACACACCGCACATCATGAAACAAATCTTCCTGGATCTGTAAAATACAATTCTTGTGTATAATTTTCAGTATTTTTTCACATGTGATGTACAGTTTGTATTGTCTTTTTATACGACCGCTAGCAGAACAGTAACCACTGGCCACTGTAGCAAGAGAATGAGAGGTGTGCAGACACGTCATTGATGCAGTACAAGGTCGAGGAAGAGTCAAACATGGCGCACCCCATGTTGAAAAAGCTCCTATTCTATGACCAGTTAGCATGCCCTTTGAAATCTAGTGGGCCCAGGACCCTGGTGTGTATATTTAATTCCTTCTGAAACATTTAGCTAGCTTATAAACTGTACCAACCCAATTCAGCTCTTGAGAGAGACAGAGAGAGACAGAGAGAGAGAAACAGAGCAAAGACCAGAGATGGCTGGAGACGAGGGAACTGCAAACACACTTGAAGCTACACCAACATGGGCTGTGGCTACTGTTGTCTTTGTTCTGATAGTGATCTCCATAATAATCGAGTATTTGCTTCATCTCTTACACAAGGTATATGTTATAATTATATATATAAAACTCTGTTTCATCTTTCCATCCATGCAATGCAAGGTGATCATTTGTTTTTGTCTTGAAATATTTGTGCAGTATTTTCATAGGTTAAAGAGGAAGTCTCTCATTCAGGCTCTTGATAAAATCAAATCAGGTTAGAGTCCACAACATGAATCAAGCTTAACTTAATATAAAATGATGGGTACGTATGTAACATAAGAAATGCTACATTATTATTTTCTGTTCTGAGATTGTGTTTGTCCCTCCATGTAGAATTGATGCTGTTGGGGTTCATATCGTTGCTACTAACTGTGGGCCAAAAGCCAATTGCAAATATATGCATCCCAAAGAGCGTTGGTGAATCTTTTCTTCCTTGCAAGAGCTCCACCTCTGGTCATGCTGTCGAGGAAACCAAATGCTCTGACCAGGGAAAAGTTTCTTTGATGTCGAGGGAAGGTGCATATGAGCTGCAATACTTAATTTTTGTGCTTGCTATGTTCCACGTTTCATCTTGCGTCCTCACCTTTGCTCTTGGTATGGCCAAGGTAACTCATTCATTTCACTAATTCTTTGCTTTTTTCAGAAGTTTCCATTACTTTTCCGCTGCCTAAATAATAGCTAATCCTATGTTCTGCATGGGAAGCTTGGTTGTCTGCTTTTGACTTTTGCAAACATTAAGATAAAACTCAAGTTGTATTGTAACTTCAAAAAGAGTAAGGGAAATTGTGGAGGGACTTCCACAATTGTGAACTCTAACAAACTTCAGAAATCTTTGGCTCCTTTTTCTTTCTTTTGAGCTTTTAAAAGGGAAAGTTTGACTATGTTGACTTTTATTGTGAACATTTTATATTGTCTTGTTTTCCAGATGAAGAGATGGGAGTCTTGGGAGGCAGAAACCAGAACATTGGAGTATCAATTTTCTTACGGTAAGCTTTCAAGGGATATGAATGGGTGGCATAGATATCTGCATACAAGTCTTTGCGGGTCCATTTGAGTTTTTAACCACATTTTTCTGACATTAATTAGTGTTTACTGCAAATAACATATAGATCCAAGGAGGTTTCAGCTCACATATCAAACCTCATTTGGGAAGCGACATTTGAAGTGTTGGAGTGACAATCGATTACTTCGTTGGCCGGTAATTAAACTCAATTAAATTTAATTAAACATACTGTTCTGTAACTAATAAACAAGAAATATAGCAAGTTTAATGACGTATCTTTTAAATGCAGGCTTCCTTTGTTAGACAATTCTTTAATTCTGTCTCCAAATCGGATTACTTCACTCTCAGGCATGGATTCATAATGGTATTAATCTGTCAACACACCATGAATGACTCATTTGATTGGTTCAATCTAAAAAGTTTTGGGTGCTGTTTGTAGGCTCATTTTGCAGAAGGGAGCCATTTTAACTTTCAAAAATATATAAGAAGGAATTTAGAGAAGGATTTTGGTGTGGTTATGGGGATAAGGTAAACTTCATTAAGATGTCTCTTCATGATCATAAGACCTTGATGCTTATCTCTTTTTCACATCTCTCCAACTAAGCAAGCATTGGCATTTTCTTTTCTTTTTTTTAATTTGTTTGCAGCTGGTGGATTTGGTTGTTCTCGGTATTTGTCATATTCTTCAATGCACATGGTAACATGCCCTGAATGAATCTATTTAATTAATCAAATGAATCCAGTTATAAATTATTACTTTTAATTTGGCTAACTCTATCATTTGCTGCACCTCTGCAGGTTTTTACAATTATCTATGGGTTCCCTTTATTCCTTTAGTGGTGAGAAAAATCAACTTTAATACTTAACTAAAGCTGTGATTAGATATTAGAAAGAAAAAAAAAGAGTTGCAATTTTTATATGCTTTGTTCTTCTTCTATGCCACACCTACAGATGCTGTTACTGGTTGGAACAAAGCTACAGGGCATCATAACTAAGATGTGCCTTGACAGCCATGATAAATCTCACGTTGTTAGAGGAACTTTGCTTGTGAAGCCCAGCAATCACTTCTTCTGGTTTAACTGGCCTCAATTGCTTCTCCATCTTTTGCACTTCATACTGTTTCAGGTGAGTCTTCAATCATAACTTTAAAACCAATAATAATGGAATTAAGAAAAGAAGATAAACTTTTAAATTTGTTTGCATCTTGCAGAATTCCTTTCAGCTGGCATTCTTCACATGGACTTGGGTAAGTAAGCACATATTTTAATCCGATATGTTGTTTGAAGTTTGAAAATGGTATATTCCCTTTACTAATTAATTGCATATAATTGATTGTTTCAAAAAACAGTACAAGTTTGGCTTAAGATCATGCTTCCACCATGAAACAGAGGATATTGTGATAAGGCTGGGCATGGGTGTAATTGTGCAAATCCTCTGTGGCTATGTCACTCTGCCTCTCTATGCTTTGGTCACACAGATGGGCACATCAATGAGAAAAGCAGTTTTCACTGAGAACGTGGTTAAAGGGCTGAAAAAATGGAGAGCTAAGGCCAGGAAGAACCTGGCTCTTAGGAACCACCCTCACTTGGCACAACTCTCGTTGGATGCTTCTCTTGAAACTTCACTGTCACCAGGCACTTCACCTTCTTTCAGTGTTCATGATGCTTCATTCTCGACTGTGGATTTTGATCGTCCGTCTGACGATGCTGAATATGTAGCACTTGAAATAAGGGAGGCCCAAAAGGCACAAGGAGAAACAAGCACTTGAGTTTGAGTTCCATCTTTGGCCATGATGGGGGGTTGCACAGTTACTAAAGTTGCTCCTCTACAATGTTCATAGATTAATGAGTATGATTTGTTTTTATGATTCTCTTGATATTGTTTAGAGTATCTCATCGCACATATAGGAAGTGAACTTTCAACAGAACATTAGAACAAATGTATTAAATTTTTTTGATCGATTAATTTCGTACAAGCAACACATGTAGTTGCATGAGTGGCAAATTGAAGAGACTACATGTGTTACTTACATTACAAGGACGACAAGGTCTAAGTCTTAATAAGTTCTAAACTAGCTTAGCCTAATTAACTAGGATTACATTATATATACTCACATCAAACTCAGATTGTGGCCAGCCATTCCCGCTTATATATACAAAATTACATTGAATTACCTTCTAGACCGTTTACTGGGCCGCCTAGAAGAAGAAGCGGCAGTCACAACCGCCTCCTTTCGTCCATTTTCCTTTGGCCTCTTTGATGAAACTGGTGTATGTTGCTGCACTTTCGCTGTGTGATGAATTAAACGATTAGAGCTGAATCTTTGTCGCCTCCCCCTACTAGTAATTATCGGCGTCGGCCACCATGGGAGCACAAAAGGAAAGGCTGGGAAGACAGAAACACCGGCCCAACGGAGCGTGAGAGTTGTGAATGGAGTGGTCCAAGTGGTCTCTTTTAATGTTTTTGCACGGATGTTGTACATGACAATGCGACCAAACAAATGTAGAAACAAGACATCCTTATTATTTGGATCGAAAGCTAGCACCATAACCGATTTTGTCGAGGACTCACGATCCCACTTAGTGAGGAGTGGATTTTCCGGGACTAATTGGAACAGGCAAACTTTGTCTACCAAACACCATTTTCCAGGCCCGTCGACTTGACCATCAACATAACCACGACCATCGTCTTTGAACTCCCAAACACTCATACCACTAAGATCGCAGTAATGAGGCAACATGCACATCCGCAGACACCCTCCTCCACACTCACCTAGGAAATGCATTGTTCGAGATTCGTCTTCAGGCTCATCAATGAAACGAAAGCAATAGTTACTAGTATCATTTATATAAAGCTGGTCACGAGTAGTGAAGGGATCCAACCCAACCATAAAGCGATTAGTATCAGTAAACCAATACAAGCTTCCATTGTGAGCAACCCCAGGGTAGGGAGACAATCTAGTAAAACAAAACCTCCGCGGGCTGAAAACAAGTGACTGTCTCCATTTACCAGTCTCAGAAGAGAAGATCTCCATATAGAAGAAACGGGAGGAATGCTCGGGACGTTCCCATTGATCATCAATTATTCGCACAACCTTGTACCTATACTCAACATTAATAATACTATAATTAAGCTGAATATTGACAGTCCTCCTAGATCTTTCTGCTTCTACTTGCTTTCGATCATTCTTGTACTTGTAGTTGGGATCGCATATGAATCCAACCATTACCCTCTTGTGATGTCCGCGTCGAGGCGGGCAAGGGAGAGCCTCCCATTGCTTGGTGCGTGGATTGCAGATGTAGTAATCACGTTGATAATGCGTGGTTGCACAACACAAAATTAAGTCATTATATGTTCCTACCACGCATGGCTCGCCTTTAAGAAAATCACAATCAGCTTGGAAACAAGGGAGGAAACTCAGAGAGAACTCACGTGGTGGTGTTTTGAACACCAGCTCATGAGGAGGCTCCTCCGAAGACACAGAAAAGAATGTCGTCCTTGCGTGCTGTGTATCCGGGACAATGACAGTGCGTGTAATGGGTTTATCACTTTGGACACGACGAAAAAAATAAGAATTATAAATGAGACTGAACCAACGTTTGGACACACACATGCATTGAACCGCAAATTCCGAAGGAAGTCGACATAGAATTTCCAGTAATACAAATTCAGGGAGATCATCAAGATTAATATTACTCGCCACTAATTTCGATATTGATTTTCCGGGTGCTGATCTTTTTGATCTTTTTGAGGAGGACTGATGATGGCGACCACCACGACCACCATGACCATGACCATGACCATGAGATTGGGAACTTTTATCACAAGGTCTCATCGCGGCTGCAGAACTAAACTTGGATTGGATACAAACTAGAGAGCAGAAGAAAGGTAGGGTCACACTATTTATATATAGATGTAACTCTGATTCAAGAAGGAATAGGAGAGATACACATCCATAAAGAAACAGGAAAAAAACCAACTAATTATTAGGAAAGAAATCCCAATACGAATACGATTTAATTCATAAAAATTATCTTGATAGGTAAAGGAAAGTAATTATGCACATGGTGGTAACATGTCCTACTGTAATTAGAAGTTGCAGTGACCATCGATTCCTTCCTTGGCCGATAATTAACCTCAACCAAAATGAATTAATGCTCCTACCATAATGTTCTGTCACTAAAAGAAATATAGCAAGTTTAATAAAACTCTATATTTAGCATCCATGCATTTATACGCATTCACCGTAATCTTAAATCAAAACTCGTGGTCTATTATAGAACTCTGAATTAATAATATTATGTGGCAAGTGTAAATCAAAACCATTTTTCCAAACAATTTTCTGTTTGGTGGACTCATCTTGTGAGTTGTATGTGGACTTGTAGTTTGCATTATTAGAGTTCATTACTTACCATTCGCATAACATTTTTTAGTGTTGTCTAATTTGTTGTTTTTATTTCTATCCTGAAAGAGTCATGGTGTAGTGTGGCGAGCTACTTAGGTTTATTATGTTTAAGATCCTATTGCTTGTTGTTAGATTAAGAGTGGTATACTAGTGTGGCCCTGTGGACTTGTTGGGTGGAGTGAGTAGATATTTGGGTGTAAACTTTAAATTTTGCATTCATGTAAGGGGAAATATGCGTGAGGCATCAATGTAAGCCCAAGTTAGTATTATCAAGTACTTTGGTCAAGGCCCAAGTTATAGAATTGCCAAAACACATCTTCTCAAATGAAGGCCCAAGTCTATCAATTTTGCCGTAAAATTGAAGGGTAAAATTGTCCACATGTAAATTAAAATATTAACAAATAAATAATAGTTAAAGCAAACTATTATAAAACTTAGAAAATTATTTTAAAAAATTGAAAAAATCGAATCTCACCAGCCACCTATTGTGTAGTCCACTCACCAGCCACAGCCCCCACCCCATAACAACTTACATCATCTGATACCAGATCCAAACCCATATGGCCAAACAACCCACACCTTTGAATCAACACACATCTCCCAAATATCCAATCCACATACCCATCAATCTCTCCTCTCTCTCTTTGAGATTTGGGTTTGTTTTTCAATTTTTTGATTGATTTTGATTAGTTATCACAGTAGGGGTTTGGATGGGGAGATTAATCTTGGGTGGATTTGGGGTGATAGGGGTGGCTTCAATGGTGGTTGAACTGGGGGTGGGGGCTGTGGTGAAACCAATGTTGGGTGTGTAGAGGAAGTTGGGTGGCTGAAGAATGGTTGGGTATGATTTGGTTTAGTGGCGGGTTGGTTTTTGATGTGATTCTTTTGATTGATTACTTGGTTTGGTTTTCTGATTTTATTTCTTGGATGTTGATTTTCTTAGTTTGATTTGATCTGTTGGGCGAAGAACCAGAAGAAGGCTGGGAGTTGGGTGGTTTTGGGGTACACCTCAATTTAACAACAAAATTGACAGACTTTGACGGTAAGACCAATTTGATACTAAATGGAGAATTGAAAGACTATTGAAATGAAAATTTTAGCTTATAGACTAAAATGAGACTGGAGTAAAAGTTGAGGGACCTTTCAGTCAATAATCCTATAAATTAATTATCATTTGGTTAAGGACCAATATACTGAAACGACTTAAAGTAAAACAAATTAAGCACAAAGGTTTATAGTGCAAATCAGCCTTTAGTTTTTTCTGGTATGATTTCGTGCTCGTATTTACCAATTAGGGATCTTAAATGGAACCAGAAATCATGAGTATATTATATATGGTCAATCTAATCAGCCGGCATGGTTTTACCGAAGTAGTTCTTCCACAAAAAATACTACAAGGATGTAATTGGTTCAAAAAGAACACATAAGAATATTTTGATAAGATATATGTTATTACATTTTCTTATTGACATGTTATCAATAATCATATTGACATCGGTTTTAAATCACTATATGTTAAGCTTGCTGGCTCCAAGAGTCGTGTAACATGGTATGGAATGCCGGCTGCTTTACTTATTTGGACCACTCTTCCAACTTCACCGCGGACTAGTTTTCTCCCCTCAATGGTCCTATGCCCTTTTTTTCTATTAATATATCTTAAATTCTTAAAGTAAAATATGGAACCTTCGTTCTTGGTTGGTCTTGGTTTTGATTTTGAGTATGATGTCCATGCATGCGTAAACATGTTTTTTGAGTATTCGTCCTGCAAGAAAAGATTGGCTTTATATTGGAAATAGTACTACTCTCCTGGATTTTTAATTTATTCTCAGTTCCTTGTAGAATTGACCAACTAATAACCTTTACTCAATTTTCAAAGTAAACCCCAACTCGTGGTTTCTATTCTTATTATACCAAACTTGCCCATTTCCACGCAATAATCCAATTAGGCTTTTTCTTCTTGTTCAAATCTCCAAGTAATGTGGTAAACCTAATTTAGCGTACTTTTTTTTTTCTTCTGTCAACAAGAAAACGAAACCCATTCTTGTTACAAAGAAAAACCACAAAAAGGCCTGCATCAACCTATCTTTTAGAATCTCTACATAATTCGGAATGTTAGATATGAGTGCGTTATTAATTTGGATGATATTTTACACAATAGTCATATATAATTTTAATCACATACTTCCTTACACTCAAATTTGAATTACTTTATATATTAAATTAGTATAAAATATTCTAGACCATCATTTGTATTAAAATTTAAAGAAGTAACGAATTCATCTACACAAATTTCAGATAGATTTCGTGACATTATTATATGTAATTTTTTCGGAAGAAATAAATGTCACAAATATGCGTTGATAATTTGCCAAAAAAACAAAAACACAAGAAAATAAAATATCATAGCGTTGACCCCACGTAATAAGGTGATCACATGTGTGATTCATGGCTCCCATTCAAACATGCGTATATGTAAAGCTTCTAAGACCCACAGCCACTTAAATTTCCCACCTTCGAGTCTTTTTGACTGCTTCAAGATGGCGTGGAGAGAATTTTTAACACAAAACGTCCGCATCATGCAGTCGTCAGCAGAGGAGAAGAAGCTAAAGTTTTGCAACGTGACTGAAAATGATAGGTTCTGGTTTTGATAAATACGATCCCTCATTTTATCCACGCCACGAGGCGTGCGTTGATTGTGATTGCTGTGCTAAGCCGGTGATGGTGTGTGACGACAGGGGATGTTGTCGTATTGTTACGTGTACCCGGACGGACGCACACGCACCGTCCGCGAGCGGCTTTGTCTTTACACGGGCGTTGGGATTATTTGGGATGAGCATAGTTGAGAATTTGAGATCCCTTGTTCCACTAAACAATGCATCAATCGTGGCTTTCACTTTTCTATTTAGTTTTTTTCTAAGCCTCGTGGCTTTGGCTTGCATGATAATAGGAGGGAGTTGTTTCTTTCTCTATCAAGGGAGGGTTTACTTTCAACATTTGTATTAAGAGAGAGGGCATGAGAGATGTTATGTCTAATTTGGTGAAAATATATGCATCATTCATTTCACCCACTTTTGTTTTTTTATCCTTACAAGAAACTTCTCACTCACCCATTTTGCAATTAAAAGGTGCAGTAGCTTAGGACAAACTGAAGGGCCAACCTACACATTTTATAGGGCATGTGAACAATGAGTTTAATTTGGTTAATGACTTGTGATGAATAATGTTTGATACACCGATAAATAACTGTTAACCATTAGTGCATTAAACAATCGATAGTGATCCACACCATCTAAGCCACAACTCTTTTCTATATGTACAAGTTAGGATAGCTGTTTTATTTTAACTTTATAAGACTTGTAAAAATTTTGAACAATGATTTCAATTTCATTGATGATGATTTGTGATGAACAATGTTTGACGCACAAATAAAGGATTGTTAACTAGTAATGCATCAAACGAATATCAATCATTCACCGTCTATGGAACTTTTTTTGCTGCCACAGGTCTCCCGTGGATTTACGAGTTAGGGATAGTGCTTTGATTTCAACTCCATAATAATTAAAATAATAAGGGTAGATAGATGAGTGCAAAAGAGTAGGCCCAATACTTTCGGCTTTGAGTATCTATCTATATTAAGGTGAAAGAAATAAACAAAGGCAAAAGCGGGTGGGAAAATTAATGGGAACGTGTGGGGGCATCGCTAATAGCTACTTGGAATCTGTCTGGCGTCGACCAACGCGGATGACGTAAAACCACGTCACCCACAGTACCCTGTGACGTAGCACACTGCGCAACTGCCGTTGACGTTAGAGTCTACGCTTCTCTCTCTCACAAACCAATTTATAAAATGCCCATTCTCAAACGCCACTTCTACACCGCCGGCCCCTCTCTCTCTCTCTCTCTCTAAAACATTTCAAATTCCTTTTCGCATCCATTAAGTTAAAATCAAAAACAGTATGCAGTCACAAGCTATTCCCTACGGAGCATGGGTTCCGGGCACTCCAGCCGGCCACGTGTCGTCATCGGCACGTGATCAGCAAGCTGCGGCCGTGGGCAGCAGATCGGCAGCTAGCGTACAAAAACTAGTGTCGGAGAATGCCGTTACGGTTGTCGGACGGCGCGGCTGCTGCATGTGCCACGTCGTCAAGCGGCTGCTGCTCGGGCACGGTGTTAACCCCACGGTTTTCGAGGTCGACGAGGAAGACGAGAGCGACGTTGTCGTTGAATTGCGGAAATTGATCGGGGAAGGGCAGGAGGATTGGCCGCAGTTTCCTATCGTGTTTGTGGGCGGGAAGCTGTTTGGTGGGTTGGAGAGAGTTATGGCTACCCATATCTCAGGTGAACTTGTGCCCGTGTTAAAACAAGCCGGAGCTCTGTGGCTTTGAGTTTTAATTTTTCTTTTAAATTTATTTTCCTGACTTGTATATCTTTGGAGAATGGGAGAAATACTTGTTGGAAAAAATAAGTGATTAATTAATTATGTAAGTAGGGCTTCAAAATTGCAGATCATGTTGTGTCATGTGATTTCTTCCTTCTCTTTTTTATGCATCGGATCGGAGGACATGATTTATTTGGAGAGAATCATAATTTGGGATGGAGATCTATCTAATAATGATAATAATTCGGTGATTTGAAAGAAATATTCAACTTTATGCTAATTATGGTAATAAAAAAATTTACATGTAACATAGATATTTTCTATTTCCAATTAATAATACAACGACAACAGATAAGGTAGCAGCCAATCTGGTTGAGCTGGCTGCTGCGACACCCGATGCTTGTCTTGTCAAAGTGTAATGGCATTTTCATTGGTTTATTACATTATACCAATCATTACCAAGTAAAATGGTATTTCATACAGAATGTAGTAAAATACTTAAAAAATCCTTTTGCTTTATTATTACTAATTATTAATTTGGTATTAAATGTTTACAATTGGTGTGGCGGCGGGGATGGCTTATGGGTTCCACAGGCTTAATACATGGACCTCAAGTTACCTGTAACCGTAAACTATGGAAATCAATGAGTCTCAGTGTATTATCACCTTGTAAAGAATATGGTATCATTTGTTAAAAACAAAAACACTCCAAAAAAAGTAATTTAAAAATAAAATCGCACATACTAAAAATGCCAAGAGAAGATATCTAATTTTGTGCACCGTCATTGTAGATGGATGAGATAGGAAATGATAGTTGTGACTTATGAATCATGAAAATAATGATGCTTTGTGATGACTTGGAGAGTTGTTGTGTACAACTCATCTACAGTCACCCTATCTGATCTGACGACGACGATAATACATCCACTATGTAATAAAATACACAAATATATAAGTAGTAGCGTGGACATGACGTGAACCAATCACCTGCCTGCAAGTGTTATAATCTCATCCCATGGTTACCATTTCAAGACTTTGTTAATGTTTTTACCAAGTAAAATGGTATTTCATACAGAATGTAGTAAAATACTTAAAAAATCCTTTTGCTTTATTATTACTAATTATTAATTTGGTATTAAATGTTTACAATTGGTGTGGCGGCGGGGATGGCTTATGGGTTCCACAGGCTTAATACATGGACCTCAAGTTACCTGTAACCGTAAACTATGGAAATCAATGAGTCTCAGTGTATTATCACCTTGTAAAGAATATGGTATCATTTGTTAAAAACAAAAACACTCCAAAAAAAGTAATTTAAAAATAAAATCGCACATACTAAAAATGCCAAGAGAAGATATCTAATTTTGTGCACCGTCATTGTAGATGGATGAGATAGGAAATGATAGTTGTGACTTATGAATCATGAAAATAATGATGCTTTGTGATGACTTGGAGAGTTGTTGTGTACAACTCATCTACAGTCACCCTATCTGATCTGACGACGACGATAATACATCCACTATGTAATAAAATACACAAATATATAAGTAGTAGCGTGGACATGACGTGAACCAATCACCTGCCTGCAAGTGTTATAATCTCATCCCATGGTTACCATTTCAAGACTTTGTTAATGTTTCCATTTCAAGAATATCACATTAGATAATCAATCAAAGATCAATAATTAAAATTGAATTATGGGTACCCATTCATATATACATGCATGATAATGGCTGCTACAGATTAAATAAATAATTAATTGTGTTTAATTTACTCTAATAACATATGCTTAAAAGCTAAATAAGCACATGGACCATGGCAGGGGTTGTCTTACCATGACCTGGAAGGGCAAACACCAGCCTTTTTTTGTTTTGTTTTTTTATAAGGTAAATAATTTAGCTCCCTTTGGAATCACCTGAGAAATCAATGACATCACATGTTGTGATGAACATTGTAATTACAAAATCCTTTGACATTCACAAGCCAATTTAAACCTTTCACTGCTTTCCAAATTTCAATCAGGAGATCTTCATCACGTTACATTTATTTCTTTTGTTAGTTAGGATACAGCTTTCTTTTGGGGAGAATGATTGGTATGTTATGAATTGTAAAATAACAGCAGACGCTCAACTTAAGTGATTTATTATTATCGACAAATGAAATTGTCTTATCAATTCCCCTATATTGCGTGTAAATAAAATAAATAGTTGACTTGAGGTGGTTGACTTGCGCAAACAAATTAGATTATGGGGAAAAGAACATCTGACCAAAATATGAGTGTAGATATTAAGGGAATTGTAGCTCAAGTGATTCACCTGTACCCAATCTCATGTATTCGAATCTTCCTCCTCTAATATCGCTTATATAAATATAAAAAAAGGGTGTCAATACCAAATTTCTAGGTCTTTTAGCAAAATTTACGGCTACTTATAGAGATTGGATGACGAATCAACTCAGGCACAAGACCCTAATCCTAACCCAATTCCACGCCCAACCTTCCCCCGAACAAAGCGAAGCCCAGCCCAGCCCAAATTTGTTGGCTGGTTTCGTTGATGGATTGACAAGTGGACATGTAGACTGGGTCTTAACATTTGTGTGGGCCTCGCAGAAATCAATTTGTCAATCCATATAACGAGGCTGAGGCCTATTTGTGCTTTGTTGGTTTGGGTCGAATAGATCTTGGGTTACAATTCTATCGAAAAACGAAACAAAAAGTAATAGTAACGGTCTGGCCTTCCAATTTAAAAGTAAAAGGAAAATAGCATAGCAGGAGCAGCAGCGGACTGCAAAGTTAGCTTTATTAACACGCTGTCGTTCCGCTTCGAGGTCCACCTTCACCTACAAATACGAAAAAGCCCTTCTCACAACTCAATCGCCAGATTCACCGCCACGACAAACAGTCCCATGATCGTAATTTGATGCCCCCTCCGTCTCGCTTCTTTGTAAAGCCCAAAAACCTCGACCCCCTTTCCCTCCCCAAATTTTAAACCCTCGGCTCTATCTCTCTCTGTTCGCAGTGAAGTGAAATAGAAATCTCAGGAGAAGCAAAGTTCACAAGGCGAAACAAGAACCAGGAGCAACGTTAAAGCATGAGAAGGTTCTTCAGAGGAAGAGATGCTTCCTCCGATTCTTCACCTCCCACACCGTCGTTCTCTCCCTCACCGTCGTCGCGATCGTCGGCGCCGGTGACCGGTCCGCCGAGGCCGATACGACTCGTTTACTGCGACGACAATGGAAAGTTTAGGATGGATCAGGAAGCGGTATCCATGCTCCAGCTCGTGAAGGAGCCTATCGGTATAGTCGCCGTCTGTGGCCGTGCTCGCCAGGGCAAGAGCTTCATTCTAAACCAGGTAAAACTATCGTCCTTTTTGTCTCAATGTTCAGAAGAAATGATAGTGGAAACTTCTTTTTTTTTCTTCTTTCTGGGGGGGTTTGTTTTCTGCTTGTGAAGTCTAGGGTTTATGATTGTACGAATTGTAGAATCTGCTTTCCGAAGGGAATTGTAGAGGACTAGGGAATTGCATGAAGTGTAGAAATTGTAGGCCTACTTCAGTTTTTGTGTTTTCGCTGCTGCCGTGTTATTGTTTCTGATTAATTCTCAGTTCTTGGAATTGTCATAGTTAACCTAAACCATCTTTTCCGCAACAATGTTCAAGTGTAATCGATTCTAATACATGGATGCATGTATTTTCCATGGGCAATATGGTTGTGTTAGATGCGAATTTTCGTTTACATGTTCTTGCAACCAAAACTGAGGTGTGAATCATTGATTAACTTCAAGATATTAAAGTGGGGCCTAATGATTAAAACATTTACCTTTTCTGATCATCTCTCTCTCTCTCTCTATGAATTTATGACCACTAAGCTTATTCTACTGTTGCTTCCCCACCAGTTCAATGTTGCTTTAAGAAATAAAGATGTTTATGTTTGTATTTCTCTCTTGTAGCTTCTTGGAAGGAGTGGTGGATTTCAAGTAGCATCTACGCATCGCCCATGTACGAAAGGGCTATGGCTATGGAGTGCACCCTTTAAGAGAACTGCTCTTGATGGAACTGAATACAATCTATTACTATTGGATACTGAAGGAATAGATGCCTTTGATCAGACGGTTAGCGTTCATTCCATTACTTAACAACATATTAGTATCTGCTCCTTTAATAATTATGATAATTTTCATTATCCATTCTACTGGTTCTGTAACCAATAAGACTTACTAAGCTGATTGTAATACTTATGACTTACTTTTATCTGACAGGAAACATACAGCACACAGATATTTTCCTTAGCTGTTCTCTTATCTAGCATGTTTATTTACAACCAGGTTAGAAAACTTTTCTGAGACTTTGATCCTTCCTCTTTGAATATGCTCTATAGTTTCTTCTTCATAATTTACTTTCCTTTTCTTTTAGATGGGTGGTATAGATGAAGGTTCACTCGATCGTATCTCTCTTGTCACTCAAATGACTAAACATATACGTGTTAAAGCCTCTGGAGGAACCACAGCTTCTGAAATTGGGCAGTTCTCCCCAATCTTTGTGTGGCTTTTAAGGGTAATTGGTTTTGAATGAACTTGTTTCTTTAATATTTGTGCCATCAACTACAATAATTATTGTAAACCTGTTATTCTTATGATAATGGTTCCTCTGTTGTGGTTATTCTGTTTGTTATCGTCATATGAATACATGGTGTATTTAGTAGAATATGTTATGTGGCTTTCCATTTGCGGTAATTTACACTGCCTTGGTTTCAGGACTTCTATCTGGATTTATCTGAGGATAGTGGAAGGATAACGCCCCGTGACTATCTGGAACTTGCTTTGAAGCCAGTTGATGACCGAAAAAGGGATGTAGTTGCGAAAAATGAGGTATTTATCTGGTTCTTCTTAGTTCGTTTGAGAAGATTTCTGCATTTTTTTAGCAGAGAGAGACCAATCTTGACCTTTTATTTTCAAGGATTTGCTTGCAATTCAGACATGTATCGTTGAATGGGCATTATCTGCTTTTAGATATATGCTTGTTAGCCATTTATGACATTCTAGGCACATTGAGCACTGCTACACTTGAATTATGTTATCTATGTATGTTGGACTCGGAGGTGCTTATTCTACACTATGAATGACCAATATAGATACGAGCCTCCATTCGAGCTCTATTTCCAGATAGAGAATGCTTCACCCTTGTACGGCCTTTGAACAACGAACATGATCTACAGAGACTTGACGAAATTCAGGTCAGTGACTTACTGTTGTCTTTGATCTCTCTCTTGTTGGTCATGAACTCAAATTTGTTTCTTTCTTTATTGATATTTAGTTGTGTTGAAGGCTAAGTTTTTCTAATGCAGTTGGACAAATTAAGGCCTGAATTCAGATCCGGGCTAGACGCATTGACAAGGTTTGTTTTTGAAAGAACAAGGCCCAAGCAAGTTGGGGCAACTATGATGACGGGTCCAGTTCTAGTTGGCATCACACAGTCTTATCTTGATGCTCTAAATAAAGGCGCGGTGCCTACCATATCCTCTTCATGGCAGGTCTGTGTTCTCCTTGAACTGTCTTTTTGGGTGGTTTGCAGCAGGCTCTAAATTATTAGTTTTTATCCATGATAAGATTTTCCTTCTGTATAAAAGTTTAACAGCATTTTAGTTTCTAACTGGAAAAAAGTGGAAGTATTGAATATCCAATAAAGTAGTGACCAACCAACTTGAATTAGATGTGCTATATAAATTTTGGTCATGGTTAATTTCTTTGTGCTGTTTCATTGAGGTTACATAAATACGTTGCCCTGTGTCTTATCTGGAGACAGTAGATGTTGAAGTGGATGTTCTGTTTTCATTTTAAACTACAACAATGGAGAATACAATAATAAATTAACACTTTTGTATCTCAAACTTCATACGGAATAGAGGGTCGATAAGAAACTGACTCTGGAACAACTCTGACTAAAAATTTCTGAGGCATCATGTGATTGTGTTAATCTTACTCTGCAGAGTGTCGAAGAAGATGGGTGCCGAACAGCATATGATTATGCGCTTGAGGTGTATAAGTCCGCTTTTCACCGTCCGAAAGATCCTGAAGAAGTAAGTTGTTAATTGTGCCTTAATTATTGATGATTTTTCTTGTCTCTAATTCCAGATGTTGTAGGCTGCATTCAGGGAAGCGCATGAAAAGGCAGTTCAAAAATCATTGGCTGCATTTAATGATGGTGCTGTAGGGGTTGGTTCAGCAAGGAAGAAATACGAGGCGGAGCTCCACAAAAAGCTGAAAAAGGAGTTTGAGGTAGAGTACTAGATAAGACGAACTTTAGTTTTAGTATGATGTGGGCGCAGTTAGAACTGAATGGGAAAACAATTTGTTTTTCAATTGACCTCCGCCACTTAGAATCAAAGACACCTAGATGCAAATGCACCCACACACATGCATATGGTGCATATACATGCACACTGTGCATATGTTGAATATCTCTTTTCTTTTGAGATTGTATTGCCAAGAGTTTTTTGGCTTGTATCTTATTAATTAAATAAAAAGATCAGAATCTTCAAGTGTTCTTGCCTCAGATATAATTGAATTCTTTGTGATAATAAATAGTTTGTTGACAGTATATATGGATGTGTATATCTTATTAGCTCATCCCGTGTATACCGGTCTTATTCATTTAAATTGGGTACTCATGCAGGATTGTAAAAGGAATGCATATATGGAGGCAGAGTTGCAATGTTCAAATTCTATACAAAGCATGGAAAGGAAGCTGAGAATAGCTTGCCATGCTAGTGATGCTAATATTGATAATGTTCTGAAGGTAAGCAACAGTGGCTTGCCCCTGATGTCTTTAACGTTTTAATTGAATTTTTTTTTTCAACTGTGATTTTGTTTTCTAGGTTCTTGATGGTCTTGTAGCCGACTATGAAGCAGCAAGTCACGGTCCAGCAAAATGGCAGAAACTGACCATTTTCTTACAAAAGAGGTTTGTCTAATGTCTTTGGTTTTTATCTATTTATAATTAATGATAATTATTTATTAATGTATGAGTGCATATTAATGTGTATTGCATGCAATCCAAATTCACAGTTTGGAAGGTCCAATACTGGACCTTGCCAAGAGACTGATTGACCAAGCTGGATCAGAGAAGAGTACTCTCATGTTGAGATGCCGCTCAATAGAAGATAAGTTGGGGTTACTGAACAAGCAGCTGGAGTCTAGTGAGAAGTCCAAGTCTGAATATCTGAAGCGTTATGAGGATGCTATCAACGACAAGAAGAAGTTAGCTGATGAATATATGGGCCGCATTAATAACTTACAGAGTAATTCCAGCTCACTGGGTGAGAGATGTTCTAGCTTAGTTAAAACATTGGATTCTGCAAAGCAAGAATCCTTAGAGTGGAAAAGAAAATACGAACAGGTCATATCAAAGCAGAAGGCTGAGGAAGATCAAGCTAGTTCTGAAATTGCAATTCTCAAGTCCCGATGCAGTGCTGGTGAAGCAAGGCTGGCTGCTGCTCGGGAACAAGCTCAGTCTGCCCAAGAGGAGGCTCAGGAGTGGAAACGCAAGTATGACATTGCTTTTAGAGAAGCAAAAGCTGCTCTAGAGAAGGCTGCAATTGTCCAAGAACGTTCGAATAAGGAAACACAAAAGAGAGAAGATGCTTTGAGGGAAGAATTCGCGAGTAGTTTGGCTGAGAAAGTGATCCTCTCTCTCTCTCTCTCTCTCTCTCACACACACACACACACACACCTAAATGCATACTCCAATTCTGTAGTTTCCTATGGGATTTTGATTTGTTTTCCTTGTCGATAAATATTTAGGAGGAGGAAATAAAGGATAAGGCAGCAAAGATTGAATATGCTGAGCAGTGCTTGACAACTCTAAGACTAGAACTGAAGGTGAGTTTGAATCTTCACACTTTGTTAGAATCTTTTATGTACCCTTCCCTCATTCTCTCTCTCTCCATTTGCAAGTGGAAAACACGCGCGTGTCATAAATTGCCGCATCATTTGGTTAGAATCTTGTACTTGTGTCATAAATTGCCACATCAAATGGTTATGCAGTGTTGTGTGTATGCTTATTGATACACACTGTTGGGAGGATAGCAGTTGGGTTAATGGCATGTGATTCAGTCAGAAAAATACATTTGGCCTGGGAAACTGCTCTTACATGTTCAATGGAGCAGCTTTGGAGGGATTAAATTTTGCAATATCAGGAGGCTCATTTTTTGTCTTGAGGTTTTTCATGGTCTGTGTTTTCCACTTGTTTATAATTTGATTATCTACAAGCTTTTTTTGGTAAAGATAACACACATCATCTGTCTGCTATTTTTTTGGGTGCTTACATCATATTTGAACTTAAGACCTATACCTTTTACCCACCCGTCCCAATGCCAGTTGAGCTAAAACTCGTAGGCATTATGTAAAACATCAATTATCCGAAGTAGATAGAGCCCTATGGAAATCGTTGAAATTTGGATAAAGAAGAATCCTTATTTTGCACATGTTTGCATTTCTTTTGTGGTCTATTTTCAACGTATGTATCTATCAATGGTGTGGTACTTGACTATTACACATTCTTTGCAGACTGCCAAATCGAAAGTAGATAGTTATGATGCTGAAATATCGTCGATGAAGCTTGAAATCAAGGAGTTAAGTCAAAAATTAGAAGCGGCAAATGCAAAGGCACACTCATTTGAGAGAGAAAAAAAGATACTGGAGCAGGAGAAGATCTATCTGGGGCAGAAGTACGAATCTGAAATAAAAAGACTTGATGAAGTCCAAGAAAGGTGTAAAATTGCTGAAAAAGAAGCCACAAGAGCGACTGATATTGCTGATAAAGCACGAGCGCAAGCAGATATTGCTCAAAAGGAAAAGAGTGAGATGCAGAAGTTGGCAATGGAAAGATTGGCCCAAATTGAGAGGGCTGAGAGGCATATTGAAACTTTACAAAGGGAAAAAAGAGACTTGGATGATGAGTTAGAGAGAATTCGTGTATCAGAGATGGGAGCTCATTCGAAAGTTGCTCTGCTGGAGGCAAGAGTTGAAGAAAGAGAGAAGGAAATAGAATCACTATTAAAATCAAATAATGAGCAGAGAACTAGTACTGTTCACGTGCTTCAAGGCCTCCTGGACAGTGAGCGTGCAGCACATGCAGATGCAAACAATAGGGCAGACTCCCTGTCACTGCAGCTACAAGTTGCACAGGCCAAACTTGATTCACTCCAGCAAGAATTGACTTCTGTTCGGCTGAATGAAACAGCACTGGATAGCAAGCTAAAGACTGCTTCCCACGGGAAACGCTCGAGGGTAGATGACTATGAAATGGGCATGGACTCCGTTCAAGACGTGGAGATGAGTGACCGGATTGTAAGAGTAAATAAGAGGTCTAGAAGTACTACTAGCCCTCTAAAGCACACACAAGCAGAAGATGGTGGTTCGGTATTCAAGGGAGATGAGGATACCCGCAGTCAGCAAACTAACTCGGAAGACTACAGAAAGTTCACTGTCACGAAAATTAAGCAAGAACTCACAAAACATAATTTTGGTGCCCAAGTGCTGGATATGAGAACTGGTGCTAGCAAAAGAGAATGGCTTGAACTCTATGAAAGCTGTATGCTTCAGAAGTCGTGACCAGTTGAAGCCCTTGTGCAGGAGGGTAATGTATAATCTACACAGGTAGTCGTCGCCGTGAATTAGTCCAGGACCTAGCTAGCAAGAGCTTCAAGTTCTCGATGGTTTGGTTTTATGATAGATCTCACCAGAATTGGTGCAAAAACTATCTGTTATTCTAGTGTAACTACAAAATGGTTGAAATATTAGTGTTTTAGGCTACTGACATCAGCAGCTCGTTAGGTGCCCTATCAGTAATTTGCCTATATTTATGTTTTCTTTTTAATTTTCGTCTCCCTCCAAGTATCCCACGTGTGGGCATGTTGTTTTGGTGTTGCTTGCAGTGGTCTTTCATGCGCCTGTATGGCGATCTATTATGTGTTTGTCAGCCAACTTCTTTGTGTTTTGTGGGCAAAACTTGGTAGTGTATTGCTGTTTGAAGAATGAATTGTAAGTCCAGGTGCCGGGTAGGTTTAGTTTCATTTTGTGCTGTGTGTTTTTTTAATGACAATTTTTAGTTTCTTTTGGTGCTCTTGCTGCTTGGCATACAATTATTTTTTGAACAACAGAGTTATTTTGATTTGTTATTGAATATCGAGTGTTCAACAATTCAATGCAGTATTTTGCAAACTAATAATGAAAAGCAGTCCAGAAACAGATAATATGATTTATTTCCTCCTAATTTCATTAAAGCAGAAATACTTGACTAATGGAATTATAGAATTGAGTCATGGTCAAACCAATTTATTCAACTTTTGAAAATTCTTGTCGACCAAAGTGAGAGAAATGTAAATGTGTCAAAAAAAAAATTTGACTTACCCAGTTCTCTCGTGGTATTAAATTAATTCTGTTTTTTTGATTGACAAATTTCCTACTGCTTTCTCTCAATGGCTGCATGAATGATGAAATATTTGACTCGTCCGTTGTCATAGATATTACTCGTATACAGCCTTGCCCTGTCTGTACCCGTGGTCTTTCATGACCTGCTATATCTTCCTAGGCCCCGTTTGGTTCACGAAAAGGATATGAGGAGATATTACTTTTCATGTCATTTCCCAAAAGATGAGAAATGAAGATTCTTTTCTCATGTTTGGTAATCCTGAGAAAATAATCAAAAAATACCACTTTATTTTCTTTCATATGTTTGGTTTGTGTAGGAATGTAAAACAAAGTTTGTTTAATTTTCCAATTATACCCATATGAAAAAAAAAAAAAAAAAAGCATTTAATACTACATTGTAATTCTAAATTGTTAATGGGGACAACATGATCATGAAAAATGTGTATTTAATGTTGACTCATTTTCCCAAACTTTCCATGAGAAGGAAAACAAAACCCAAGGGGGGAGGATGTCTTCACTTTCCTCCTTACTTTCCCATGTGCAAGACAACGATTTCTCATGCCTGAACTTACCAAATATGGGAAAACAATTGATTTCTCATCCTCAAGGCCTCCTTTCCCATAAACCAAACATGGGAAATGCTTTCCTATCAGACTCTTTAACTAGGTACAGGCTTAGTTGAATGTGCGATTCAAATTCTCAGTCACGACGTGTCTAGCAACATATCTAATTCTTTTATAGAAAATATTTCCCATTATAAAAATATTGGCCAACAACTCTAAGTTGTATTTTCCCTCACGGTTTTCTTCTTCATGTAAAATATTTCTAATTTTTGTTTTAATATCTTTATTATAGCAATACCATGAACTCCAACCGCAATAACAACGGAGTTTTACTACAAAGTATAATCAATTTCATATACAAGTTTAAGAGAATAGTACTTAATCCACAGAGTAAATCATAAACCTAATGATAAAACTCAAATGTCGTATCAGACAAATTAGATATACAAGTTTGTACGTAATCATGTCTGTACAGTTCCAAAAGAAAAGAAAAACATCATTATCCTATCTAATCCCCGATCAACTGGTCATCATAAACTTCAGGATCACAGTATAATATTAATATAAGTAGTTAAAAATATCCAATATAATTGTCTGTGTATATATAATAATTCTTATTTTTTTTTTGTTATAAAAAATCTCAATCTTGTAATAACTTATTTGATCATCATGAGTAGTAAAACTTTTTTACACAGCAACACCAACCACCACCACCATGAGAGAGTCATTGTCATTGCTGCCCTAGCTATATATAAAGCTACCTCAACTGAAAAAGCTCTTCCATCCATATCCAATATCCAATATCCAAGATCCATGGCCACCCATGGACTATTTTCTCTCAAGCTTTCCTTTGCTTGCATCTGCAGTTAATCGAATAAACGAAGACCCGTCACCTTGGACAACTAAATTCGGGATTAGTTGAGGTGGGCTTTCTCTATTATGTCCCCCCTGGTTATGAAGATTATGGTGATCATAATTAATAAAACCTCCTCCAGGATTATAATACTCCACAAGGCCAGCCTTCTTTGCTATAGGAAGAGGATCATGCCCATGCCCACCTCGTATATTCACACCTTTGTGGTGATCAAACATTGGAACATCTTTGATGCTTGAACCACATTGCCTGGGCTGTGTTTGGTAAAAGACTTTTGAGACCACCAGCTCCCCATCTTTCTCTTCTTCATTGTTGCCAAGGTGGTATTGGTGCATCACCCAATTGGTCTTTTCAGGCTTCCTTTGCCTGCCGTAGTTGGTGTAGAGGACCAGGATCTTCTTGAAACCCTTAACTGCTCCACCAACAAGGACTGGCCTTGTCTTCCCTGTCTTGTGCCACCTCGTCTCGCTTCCATCTTCTTCGGTGTGAACCTTCCTTCGCTTTCGAGTCCCGGTTGTGTATGCCTTGGAGGGCCGGTGAAAGAAGTGCCGGATTTGTCCATCTTTGTTCACTCCTGCATGGACGTCAGACAGGATGTCCAAATCAAATGTGTTAACTTGGAGAGAATTGTAATTATAACTTGTAAGTCACATACACATTGAGAGAAATTGAAGATATCAACATATTGAAAACACAATTTGAAGGGTAGGTCGAACAAATTAGTCCATAAAATGGTGTCACCACCAGATGGAAATTAAAGATTTGACATGCAAATTGAGCCAAGGAATTTTAAAATGGAGGTTTACATGGTCTATATATATAAGAGAACCGAGGCTCTATATCTATATCTATATCTATATATGCGATTGCGTTTGGTGTTAGGATCCATATATGTATAGCCAACCTCTATGCATTCACATGCAAATAACATGCTTGAAAAGAAAAAAAGTATAAAACACAAGCATACCAAATTGAATGATTTGATAAGGAGAAGCAAGCAAACCCATGTGCTGGTTATATGTTTGTTTCAATTGTGACATCTAAAAATAGAGACGTATATACCTCCCAAAAAAAAAAAAACAATATTCTTTGGGAAAATAAAACAGGTGGAAAATATAAAATCTCAAGTATCTTTAAAAAAAAAAAAAAAGAATAGAATAAGTATCTGTGATTATCTTTGGTTAAGTCCCAATCCATACAATTACAGTATGAATACCAAGAAATTAAACCTGTCAAGTTTGGAATCAAATGAATGAGAGAGGCCCGTGATAATTAGTGTCTTCATTATTGTTTCTAGATAGGGTTAAAAATAAAAAGTTTACAAAACATGAAAAAAACAAATAACCTGGTAGCTTTTCTGGGTGAGTATAGCAAATCCCATTCTCCCCCTCAAGGGTTGGTATGAATTCATCAATGAGAGGATGAAGTTTTCTGGTATCAGACAGCACTTTTGCCTCCAAGTGTTGAAGAATTTCTTGGTCAGTTGGATCAAATTTCACCCCTGCTGGTAGTCCAGGCAAATCATGAATCCCTGCCTAAATATCACATAAACAAAAACAAAAAACAAATCAAAACTTAATACCAAACAATTAATTCATGTAATTAATTAAAAACCGTATAAATTAAAATTTAGTTCAACAAAGAACTAAAATAAGTTAAAAGTTTAAATACCTGGTCTTGGAATTCTATGTGGTGGCCACAAGAGGGGCATGTTATGTTCCGAAATTCGTTATTGTTATGAGGAGGAGGAGGAGGGGGAGGAGGGGTGATAATCTGAATGGCCCTCTCGTCGTCTGAGTCATTGCACCATGTCATGATCTCTCTGCCGTTTTTGCTCTGAGGCTCATCCCAAACCCCAAGCTTTCTTGTAATTTCCTCCACCTCTTCCAAATACACACAACTCTCTCACTCTCTCTTTCTTTTTCTCTCACAAAACTAAGCAAACCCAAAAACAAAAACTGAAAACGCTTAAAGCAAGCAAAGCAGACAAGCAAACCAAGCTTGTCACTTTTAAACCACGTTTTCCTTAACCACTTTTTTGCTCATCTTCTTCTTGAATATTGATGTTTGAGACGGAATAGTAGTATTGGAATTTGATCTTTGTCCCATTTGATCTTTTTTCTCCTCCTACTATGATATTATTATCTCTTTGCAAAGAACTGCCTCCATAAAAAATGAGATAGGGAGAGGGAGAGAGAGAGAGAGAGAAGTAGAACAAAGGTTAGCAAGCTAGCAAAGCTATAAAATAAAAGAACGGAGAGAGGAATGAATTTTCTAGAAATAGCAAAGGTTGCTTGGACGTCAAGTTTGGTTTTACTTCTGTATATACGCTTGCACAATAGAATCCATGTAGTCTTATAGCTAATTGGTCGCCTTTTTTATTTTTATTTTTTGTGTCTTTCTTCCCACGGGGTATCAATCTGCCTGTCTAAAACACGTGTTCAAATTCTAAATTACAAAAATTACTTAAGGAAGTTAATTATAAATAAGTAAATAACAAACCTATTAATTGTTAAAACACAAAAAAGAAAAGAAAAGAAAAAAAAAGGGTGGCTAGAGTGGAGAGGGGGCAACCTGATTCTAAGACGTTTTACCTCTTTAGAGAGAGAGAGAGAGAGAGAGAGAGAGAGAGAGAGAGGGTTTGGGTTTGGGGTTGGGGTTGGGGTTGGGACTTTAGCTGCAGTGTCAACCTAGAGTGTCCCTAAAGATATATAAATTTATACATTTCATTTCACAGAGATACCTACATACGAACCAACTCAAAATCAACTACATATACTTATATTTATACAATATACCAACCTCTGTTACTGTTCTGTTGTATATATTCCCCATTTCTCCCTTTCTTCACGTAGACTTCTTATGTCAAGCAAAGAATCACTGTCTCTCTCTCTTTCTCTCTCTCTCTCTCTCAAAGAAAACAAATATTTAAGAAAAAGAAAACAACACATTTTCAGATGGAGAGGTGGTTGGAGCTTTCGATAAAAATGCCTTCTGTCTCCGCAGTAATTAATCAATGTTACATATATTAATAATAATATTTGAGTAAAATATTGTCATGTGTTATGTCAAGCGCGCTGCAAATCATTTCGTAATCACTGTTTGTTAATTTTGATAAATTAATTATGGAGATCCTTTTCAACGTATGTCAACAATTAAATCAGAGAATTTGGTATGCGGACTTGTCACTTTTGGCTTAGGCAGCACGACTACGAGTCTACGATGTTCACCGTCATATATATATTAATATTCATTTGATTTTAGCAAACAATCCACTATAACCGTCTCCATTGCCAACTGCTGCAACTTAACCATACCAATCACCATGTGCCACGTGAGCGCTTTGCCAGATGGACTTGTCTTACTGGCCGTTAAAACTAGAAGAGAAGGACATGATATTGTAGAGGGTAATTGCTTTGCCCCGCGTATATATTTCTTGTACCAGCCGACATGTACATATCTGAGCTTATTAGAGAAGCCACGCAACAGAAAGCTTAAGCATGAAGCTTTACCCTCTGGGATATTTTGTTTTTGTTATCTGTAACGTATGGCTTAGGGTTTTGGGACTTTGTCAAGTTGTTTCCCGATGTGGAAAGGGGTCTCCTCTTCTAATTGTCCGTCGTCTTGTTTAGGCATCACATGTAATATACTCTGTTTCTATATGTTAATAGTTGCGTGTCCCATATTATAACACGTGAATTGATAACATCACGGTACAGACGGTTAGATTCAAAAATTTATCGTGTTTGCGGAGAACTTTATGGTTCGGACAAATCAAGTTGTTGCTTAATCTCCACCGACATTAAGGTCATAGTCAATTCTATGAATATTTTTCTTTGGATAAGAAAATACAGTGAAACTGATCAGTAACCGATTAACTTCATAATGAGAATAATTGCACAGGAATCAACGACTTTTTGCACCATCTGGGTTACTTTTGGGATGCAATTGCTTTTAACTATTACATGGTGAAAATACATTGAAAAAAGTACACCAATTGTCAATGTAAATCACCAATTTGTCAATTGAAGATGACAAGGAGACTTGACTTGGATTAAGACTAATAGTTTTTTTTCTTCTTCTTCTTCTTCTTATTTCTAGGATCGTTGATTATATGGTTGTTAAGGAAGAATTAAGTAATGAATGTTGATCGTGAGAAATATTCTTATAAATCATTATCATCGAACAATAAAAATAATGTAACGTTTATTTTTTTGGCTTTTCCTTTGGATTGTTTGTCGAATTGTTATTGTTTTTCCTTCCCATTGAGCTGCCATTACCACAAAAGGAGCTTCAGGAAAGGCTTCTCAGTCCAGACACATCGAGCTCACTGGCCATGAACCCTAGCTTATGAGTTTGCAGGCCCAATATAATGGGCCGTCAGCCCAAGATATTGACACAGTTTTTTCTTCTGGGTAACTCAACGAAACAACTAGCCCAAAAGACAACCAAGTCCATAAAATGAAAGCGATATCTTAAGAGATCGACATCGCGACAATTAAGAGGCAATGTCCTGAGGTTCACGCAATGATATCTTAAGGTTTACGACTATTGTTTTTCCTTGTTTAATATTTGAAAAATAAATTGATACATTTTACTCACATTCAAATTTGTTTTATTTTTTAACCGCGTTCTGTCACATTCTACCCATCATTCCTTGTCGGTAGTTCTAGCGGGATGTTGATAGTAATTGTCTAAACATATAATTTGTGGATAAACCTCAACTATAAAAAGGGGGGATTAGAGATGAATTTTTTTTGTTTTTCACCCCTCAGATGCTGCCAAAAGACAAAGTTTATGTTACATAAAATAAATTTATGGAATGGACATAAAGTTTTTAAGCGTGTGACAATTGAGAACACCCAACCAACCACCATACCATGAATATAAAAATGTGACCACTTTGATTATTGGAAAAACAAAAAAGAAGAAGTATTTATTTATTTACCTATGAATCTATGATGTTTAGTCAAATGATGAAGCAATGACAAGCAGAAAAACACTTGACAGAGAAATTGATTGAAAGAAAGAGAACAAAAAATTGGGTCCCTTTTCGGCACCAAAAGATCTCAATCAACACGGGAAGGGAAACAAAAGATCAAATTCACAGCCCACGAGACAAACAAAACCCACCGTCCTCTCTACCTCTCATTTCAAACATTTCTTTCCACAAACCCCACCTTCATATATGCAATGCAAGCTATATAACTCACACGTGTGAAAACTATACATTATATGAAGAAAAATAAGTATAAACCCAAATTTCCAATTCTTGGTTGGTGTCATTTACTAATCACAGCAACTTTTTTAGAACGGAAAATCATGGCTTTCCACTTTTGACTTTTATGAAAATCCCAACTCAATCCATCTCCAAGTTGCTCAAGATAGTTGCCACTTGACAAATTGAAGGCCTACTTTTTCTGGAATTTCCAACACAAGCAGATGCAACTTTTGCCAATCTGACAAGAGCCCTAATATCATCAGGAATGACGAGTCCGGGGTCCAAAAGCTCACTAATTCTCATTTCCTTAATCAGTGGCGATGCCCAATTCACAAGCCTCCCCTCCTCGCATAATCTCCCACTCAAAAGCTCTAACAAAACAATCCCAAATCCATAGACATCACTTTCCTTGCAAGCACCACTTCCTCTCCAATACTCATCATCCACATACCCAACTAGACCTCTCTTCTCTTGGGGTGCCAAAAATGAAAGCCCATAATCACAAATCCTTGCACAAAAATTTACATCTATCAAAATGTTTGAAGCCTTTACACACCCATGTACTATATTTGGTGCCACTCCTTCATGCAAATACTCAAGCCCTTTAGCTGCCCCTGCTGCAATTTTCAATCTGTGGTTCCAATCTAACAAAGATGCCCCCTCTGGGTTTTGATGCAGATAGAAATCTAAGCACACCATACCTACAAACTCCATCACTATGATTCTCTCACCTGGGCCTTCTGAGTAGCCAATTATTGGTACCACATTAGGGTGCTGAGCTGAAGAAATTGATCTAAGTATTCTTGAAAATCCAAAGCCAGCATTGCTCAAAACATGCCTAGAATGAATTCTTTTCACTGCTGCTATCTCTCCCTTCTCAAATATGGCAGCATAGACAGTTCCCAACCGGCCCTCACCGACGATCCTACGATGATTGAAACCATCTGTGGCAGCATCTATATTGGTTAGTGGATACACCTGAGCACTAGGCTTGATTGGTGTCACTGTTTCTTGGGATTGAACTGGCTTTTTCTTGCAAAGGAGGAGGAGACTAAGGACAACAGCAAGAACAACAACAGATGTGGAAAGGAGGGCTATGACAAAAAGATAGGCAATACGTTCACTGTGGTTCATGTTTATAAGTGGCTGCTCTGCTCTGCTCTGATCTGATCTGATCAAATTGAGTGGGAAACAAGGAAAGAGAGAGGAAGAGGTTGGCTAGTTTATAAAGTTGGAGTGTGGAAATAGGCTTACATATGTATATATATGGCTTTGAAAGCTGGAAAGATCACAACTAGTTAAACTAGAGTTTGAAAAGAGATGAGAAAGAAAAAGATTGCATCTTCTTTGAAAATTGTGGTGGATTGGTAAGAAAATTGGAAGTCTTGGTCTTGTTTAGTTATGTTGGTTCATGGTTGGCCTCCTCCACTAATTTTTCAAACAAAACTTATTGCAAGTACAGATTAAAGAAAACTTTTGGAAAACTAAAGTATAAATTAGGGCATTTAATTAAATATGATGCTTAGCTCTTTATGATTGGGGTTCCTTCCTTGCTTCCTTAATCTCTGCTAACAGAGACATTTGGCCATGTCAAGAGCTGAGAGAATTAAATATCTCAAACTTTCTGAAACAGTAAGTGACTCACCAATCCATTTGGTTTGGGTCATCCACTAATCCATTATTTTTCATTTGTTCTTGTCTTGTTTGGCATAAATAAACAAGTGAACAGTAAAAAATAATAATAATAAAAGCAGCACAGGTGAGAAAGGAAGGCCTATATGGTTGCTAGCCCATAATCAGTTGAATATTTGTATCAAATGCTTACCAAGAAGTAAAGCTTTTGAAAGTGGAATTCTCAATCAGAACTTGAGCAGGATTAGATTGTGCCTATGATGATTTGTTTATGTTAAATGAAATTTTAGTAAATTCAATTACATGTGATGATTACAATTAACTTAACAATGCAAATAATACCTCAAAACTGAACAAACTCGTACTCAATATAAATACCAAACTCGTTGAATCATCATGACTTAT